TGTCACACTCATCCTACTAGGTGTGCTATAAATTGTTCTTCACAAGTTGAATGTTGTGTTTGAACAACAAAACCAAGCATGCCAAAGATGATACAGAGTCTTAAAGATAACTATAGGGTCCCCAGGCTCCCTCGCATCAATTCACCCAAATGTGAAGATGTAAAGAGATTGATGCAAAAGGTATTTTTTATTAATGGGAAAATAAAGTACAAAGTTGTAGTAATTACAACTTAGAATAACTAAAAATAAATCTGAGTCTAAATATGGAATACAAGATAAACCAATTTTATAATCTAATAAGGTAAATCTGGTGTAAGCAGTTGTTGTTTCTAATGATGTTGATAGTGATGCTCCATTGTCGTTAGTTTGAGCCCTTTTACAATCATTTATTTAAGACTATTATGCCCAAGGAATCCAAAGCCCATGTGCAAAATATCTGTGATCACTCAACCAACCCTTCAAGATTTATGACATGTCAGATAACTTTGTCGTATCCACTTAATAGTCTCCCATACCCAATCGTTTTGAGTTTTAAGGGTCACACTAAGTACGTGCTTGGGACGACTCCTCTTAGTAGTAGACCGAGCCTTGTTTTTCATTTGGGCCTGTTGTTTTAGTTTTCCTTTCTCTCAGAGATTTTGGGTTGACACTTGGTTTTAAGCCCAAACAATATGTAGGTGTTTATTTAAGTATTTGCATTGTGTAAGTTAAACCCTATTTCTCTTACTTAATTCGTAGGTTCACAAGGTGAATTTAAGAAATCTCAATATAATCTACATGCGTTGAAAATTGAAACAGTCAAACAGATCTGCCTGTTCTAATTATAATTATAATACATATTTAGCTTCATCATTTTTTTAAACTGATATTAATTTTATTTGAAATAATAAATGATTTATATATGCGCGCGCGCACTTGCTTGCATGGAATGAAATAATTTTGATTTGAGGCCATCTCTTCGCACCTTATGGCAGCTCTGGATTTAATCATAATCAGCATAACTTATGCTTGTCTGGTCATAAATATAATAATTCAATTCATAGATTCAGTCAACTACTAGACCTTTTTTTTAATATATATATATATATATACACACACACACCAATGGTTTAATTTAAAAATTTGGGGGAAATGACATTAAAAGACCAAAAAAAAAATTTGAATAAGGATAAAAATTTAAAAAATAAGGACCAAAGATCATTTAGTAAATTGGTCTAAAAATTATTTATGCTTATCATTTGTAGCCTTTAAAATAAGAATTTGCAGGTGAAATTCATGGATTTATAATAAACAAAAAACTTAAAAATATATCATTACTTGAAAATCATGTATTGTACATATGGGACTGTACTATATAGGTGGTTAAGCAAGAAGACTACCAAGGTTTTAAATCAAAGGGTCAAGAAGAGAAATCCCACAAGACTTTTGAAACTTTGGAGGTTTTGGGTGATGATAGAAGAACAATGACAGAAAGACTAAGGGCCTATTTGTTTTCTATTTTTAAAACATATTTTTTATTTTTAAAAATAAAAATAAAATAAAAAATTGTTTAGATAAGTGTTTTTCATTTAGTTGTTTTAAAAGCTGTTTTTTTTTTGTTTAAAAAAAAACTTTAAGTTATTTTCATTTTATTTTTCTTATTTTTAAAATACATTATATTTTATTATTAAAAATTATAATTACCTTCACTAATTTCTCTATTAATAACCACTATTAACTTTCTATAACCATCACTATCAATCCATTTTTTAATGCTAAAATTATTTTTTAATTGATATAATCAAATGGATTTTCATTTTATTTGTTTTATAAACAATTCGCAAACTGTATTAGAAAACAATTTTTAAAAATAAAAAATAAGAATAGAAACCAAACAAGCACTAACTTACCTTATGGTGATATGATCTTCTTTTACATGTTTTATTTTTCATAAATTAATGAATATGACTTACAAATTCTTGTTTTGATGATTGTGAATTATAATATGAGAGTAGGAAACATGCATTCATACTAATTCACTAAAGAACTTTAGGCCCTTATTTCATATTTTCAAATCTTTTGATTCTTATATTTATTTTTAATTCAATCTTTTGGTCCTTTACCGTCTTCTCCAAAAAATTAATTGAGAGAATCACATTCAAAAATCTTTCAAAAGAATTATTTGCAAATAAGGATTAATAACAAGTCATAATTTTTTTTTAAAAAAAGTCTTTGACACCATTACAACAAACATTCCTGTATTGATTTTTGTGAATAATTTTTTTGAAAAGTCTTTGTATGTTATTCTCCCAAATCAATTTTGTCATGCGTGAATACTTCTTTTTATAGTAAAAGTTGTCTTTTGTATGTTTAATAAATTTGCCTCACAACGTGTGAACTAAAACTCAAATTACTACTAAAAGAAAGTGTCCGAATTTAATACTTGATCATGTCTCGAATAAATTTATTTTAAATAAAAGAATATTTATGAACAATAAAAAAATATACAGTTGTGTACAAACAATATGGGTATTTGATAATGAAAGAAAAATTAATTACGATAAAATAATTTAATAAATGTAAGTATAATTATTCTCTAATATATTTTGACTAAGGAGAATATAAGCACTTCCAAGGGTACCTCATTGGGTGGACATCCCAGGTGGCAGCCTCCTTATAAACAAAAATACAAATAATATAAAATTTATAAAATGACGATGTTTATAGATTAAGAATAGTATCAACTTGTTTTCCCTGTGCAACATACTATTATACCAGATCCACCTGTCCATCTTATTCCTATGTAAAAGTCAAACGAACAAAAGCTTATAAAAATATTAAATACTCCCTCACTCCCAGCTTCTATATATAAATTAATTTCGAAAAAAATTATGGTTATTTTATAAGTTATTTTACGTAATAAATATATCATTATTTTCTTTTTTGAATTTCATCCTTTCACAATTTTTGATAAGTAGAGAATAAAAGTTGTATGAAAAAATTATTTTAAAATATGATATATTTAAGGATAAAAATGAAAATTCAGCTATGAATTATTTTTCAAAGAATACCTGATAGCCTATATTATGGGATGATATAAAATAAATTATGAACTGTAAAAAATAGAGCATCAAGCGTCTCCTATTTTGAAAAACAAACGTTTATTTTTAACAGTGAGCCCTCGTCATCTCCCTTTGTCTCTCTCCCATCGAGCCTCTAGATAGGAACCACACCTAACCCTCTTCATCTCTCCTTGTTACTAACATTGACGACGATGAAGAGGACCACGATAGCGATGGTGATGACTCTAGCGAGGACAACACTGAATGGTGTGACTTCGGGGAGGACGACTCTGAATGGTGAAGATTTCAATACGAGGATGACACTAAATGAGGACAACCTTCTCTACTCTTCCTCCATGAGACACCTCCTTTCTTAATGGCTCCCATTGGCGACGGTAGCAGAGCTCAACAACAAGGGTTGAAGCCGGGCTCGATTTCAAAGATTGCATTTGACTTTTAGTTCTTTGATTTATGTTGGTTTGATTTCTGTCTTCAATTTTGGTTCAAATTGCATGCAACAACAATTTTAAAAAAAGCCGAAGCAGCATTTGGGTGGAGGTGATTATTGTCTGAAGAAATCAAAAAACTCAAGTGCGATTGAACGAATGTCTAAAGTGCTGTGTCTATTTCTTCATCTCTAGTCTTTTCCTCTTCCATTTGATTGATGTTGATGAATTGTGGCTAGAAGTCAGAGCAATCAGAGTATGGAGGCTGGTTCTTTATTTAGCAGTATAAGTCCTTTCTTGCTGTGCCCTTGGTTAATGGTTTCAACTTAGTTCTAATCTTATTGGTCTTCGAGTTTTGATAATTGATTCAACCTCTTGTAGCCTTCTTGTTCTCAAGGCCGTGGTTGGTTCTTCAATTTTAGAGAGCGGAAGAAAGAAGGGGCCAGGAAAGTCACAAATGATCAAATGGAGAGGAGACATGTGGCTTTTTTTTTTTTCCCAGTTAGTTAAGGTCAAACAAACATCCGTTTGTTCAAAACTAACAGTAAGTGTTCAATACTCTATTTTTTATAATTGATGATTTATTTTGCATCATCTCATAATATAAGTTACCGACGCTCTTTCAAAATAGTTTAGGACTAAATTTTACATCTTTACCCTATATTTAATAATAGTACATTGAGAAATTTCTCTCTTTCTATGTTTTTTTTAAATTATTATTTACAAGTAACAAATTTTGTTTAAAATGTGATCAAATATTAAATGTGAATAGAGTCAGAAATAAATGTTGGGTTTGAAGGCCGCCCGTTTAAGCCTATTTTTATAAGAGTTCGGGTTTGAAAAAATAACATTTTTTTAAGAAAATCGGACTTTCAAGTTTGGCCCTGATAGGCTCTGAAAAAATGGGCTCAGGTTTGAGTGGCCTTTTTAGGCTCGTTTTTGTTTTTTCATTAAAAAATAAAATATTTTTAATTTTTAAATTAAATTTAAACTTTAAAATATATATTTATACTTTAAAATTAGAATTTTTATCATTTATTTTTAATTTTTAGACATTATAATTTGTATTTTAAAAAATATTTGAAATATTAAATTAAAAATTTTAATTTTTAAAAATTGTAAAAATTAAAAAAAAATAATAATAGCTTATAGGCTTAATCCCAAACCTTTATATAAGGATCAGGCTTTAAAAAATGAAGTATTTTAAAAAAATCGAGCTTGAGCTTTTAAGGGTCGGGTTCATAAAGACTGAGCCTATATAAGCCGAATCGCCCATTTTTCAACTCTAAATATGAACACATTTTTTAAGAGGAACTTGAACTTTACTTTGTTGTGAAGTATCAACTCATGGCCAATAATTAAAACGTACGAGCAGTGTATTATAAATTAAATTTTAGTTAAATAATTAAAAATGAATTATAAATAGAACGTACGAGCAGCGTGTCCGATCATCATCATCATTCATCGTCAGCTCAGCAGCACCAGAAATAGCCATTCTGCCACACCAGCTGCCATGGCTAACTACAACGTCTTTGTCACCCTTCTTTCTCTCCTCTTCACATTAAACCTAAATCTCTCCCTCTCATCATCCCCTACCTTCATCAGCATCGACTGTGGCTCAAGCTTTCTTTCGCCGATGACATTTTCCGATGGGACGCCGATGATTCTTACCTTCAAAACGGAGAGTTCCACCCCGTTCCATACGCCAGCGCAGCCCATCTCTACAATAGCAAAACCGCCATGTCCACTCTCAGAGCTGTCCCGACTCTCAAGAAGAACTGCTACACCGTCAACGTCGGTGAGCGTCGGAAGGTTCTGGTTGAAGCAAGCTTCTTCTATGGAAACTACGACGGCAAAAACTCTCCCCCTACCTTTGAGCTTCACTTTGATGGCAATTTCTGGGCCACTGTCAACACTACGAGCCCGAGAGGGGTGTATCATGAGGCCATTTATGTTACCAAGAGAAACATGACTAGTGTTTGTGTTGCTCAGAAATTTGAGGATCAGACTCCTTTCATTTCTGGGCTGGAGATTCGAAGCTTAGAGATGAGCATGTATAGACATGTTGATTCTGGGCTTGCTCTGTTCTTGTCCAGTAGAGTTAATGCTGGTGCAGGTCTCTCTGGTATCACAAGGTATGTATGCGAATCCTTTTCTTTGTTGCGATCTCTCTAGTGTTGCTTACACAGCACTCACGAATCAAGACTCACCTATATGGGGGCAAAATTTAAAGCCATCAAGAATATGAAGGGCAAAAACTAAATTTCAAATTTTTTACAAACAAAATTTAAAAAACAAATACAAAGGAGCTGTGAAATTGAGAGGGCAAGCACCCCGTTCCTCCTTGCATTTGTCACTGTTCACACGCTAAATTACACACACACACGTTAATTTTATTATATTAAAAATAAGGGATGATGAAATTTTTAATTCTTCAAGTTTGATTCAATTATCAATGGGGTCTTCTAAATTTAATTTTCATCAATTTGGTCCCTAAAGTTTGCATTAATTGTTGATATTGTTTAAAAAGGAAGAAACACTATTAAAATATGCTAATTAACATAGATAACAAAATATTGATGAAAGCTATATAATTAATAAAAAATGGACTTAGAAATTTCAAATAATAAAAAAAAACAATAAATGCAACATAAGGGATAAAAATTAAATTAATTTTATAGTTAATTTGTTTTCTTTCAATTACATGCATTTGTCAAATCATCAATATACTTTATATGTTAGATTAATTTGAGAATCAATTTTGTATTTAAAAACTTAAAAGACCAATATGATAATTTAACAAAAATTAAACTTACATGACTAAATTAATAATTGAGATAGATTTGAGGTACTGAAAATTCAATCATCCCAAGAAATAGAGAAACTTTTAGGGAGAATTTTAATAAACACTTTTTAACCACACTTATTTAAATTCAAAGTCCTAAATTTTTAAAATTGCACTTTAGTCTAAGGTACTGATTTACTATTAAATTTTTAAGAGAAATGATAAAATTGTTCCTCATTTAAATTAATATCAAAACTTTTCTACTTTACTTGTTCATTATCATATTTCACTTGTTAATTTACTTACAGAATATTGTTAATTGCTTTACTTAACTTGTTTTTCATTTTAAGTGTTTAAATCATCTTAAGATAACTTATTAATTCATATATTATATATTATTTATTTACTTATAAATTGTTGTTTATTGTCCTACTTCACTTGTTCATTGTCAAATTTTCACTTAATTTCATTCCAGGGAAATGAACAAGTGAAGTAAGGCAATTAACAACATTCAATAAGTAAATGAATAAGTTCTTATATTAATTTAAATGAAGGACAATTTTATCATTTTTTTCAAAAATTTAATATCAAATTATTGGTACCCCTAGACTATAGTGAAATTTCATAAATTTAGGGGCTTTGAATTTAAATAAGTGCGGTTAAAGGTCTTTATTGAAATTCTCCCAAACTTCTATGTAATTTTAGCAAAACTCATGGAATGTTTAGACAATTCATAAGCTAAGAAATGCACCATGAATGAAAACTGACAGGTACCCAGACGACCCTTATGATCGGATCTGGAGAATAGAAGGTGGCTTTTTAATAGTTCTTAATGTGGTCAACGAGGCTCCATCCATTGATACAAGCAAAGCAGAAAATCAACCACCTGTTTCTGTTCTTCGAACTGCAACAACGACCATAGAGATTCCATGGAGTCTTGTACTCAGCACAGACCTATCTGCCACAAGTGAATCTGTTTATATCACTGCCTACTTCTCTGAAGTCACTCGCCTTCGCTCCAATGAAACAAGATCCATTCAAGTTAACATAAGCCGAGTTCCTTATTCACAACCATTCGTCCCTCCTTTTGGAGCTGTATCAGAGATCCACATCACAAACTTGACTGCGAATTCAAACACAAGTGTGGCTGTTTCGGCAGAGGCAAGTTCTACACTTCCTCCTCTGCTTAATGCCTATGAAGTCTACACTATTAGTGGTGTGCTAACAGATGGAACCAACAGTGATGATGGTTTGAGTCTTGTTTAGTTTAAAAAAAAAAAAAATATATATATATATAAGTATTGTTATGTTCTTGTGTTATTTATTTGTCATCATTCTAATTGTTTGGTTCTATTTTTGGTAATGTAGTGGAAGGATTAGGGGCACTACAGAAGAATCTTGATGTGCTTCAGAAATGGAGTGGTGAACCTTGTCTTCCATCTTCATTTTCATGGGAATGGCTCGAATGCAACTCTGATGCCTCTCCACGTGTCACCTCATTGTAAATCCCATCCTTTGTCTTGTGATCTTTTCCTGCTGAACTATGTTAGAGTATGTGGGACTCGCATAAATTATTCTATGATTTGCTAAAATGGGTTTAACTGGTAAATAATAAAGCCTTATATTATGTTATGTGATCATATACTTGATAGGCTAGACACATGATCTATTGAGTCTGGCTGGCTGGCGATTGAAGTGTGAGCCTAGTAAAAATTATTAAATAGGCTAGCTCCCCCTCTAAACTTAACTCAATGTATGTTTTCCCACCAAATGCAGCATAATTTTAGAAGGGAATAGAGAAGAAGGCTTAGATTGACTAGCTCATTGATTAGCTTATGTGCTACAATCGAATCATGTATGCAATTCTATATATCTTATGTTTTTTTGATTTCTTATCATATACACTAAATCTCTATCCAGTACTCACCCCATCACAAATTATAAGATAACTTTAAAGGTATCTTATCGTCCCAAAATATAAGACATTTAACAAAAACAAGGTTTTATTAATCCTAGTATTATCCTTTAAGTGGAAAAAGAGTTTAAATAATTGTAGCGTAATAATTAAATGCATAAATTTAAAGTTATATTAAATGAAGAACATTTTTTAACGTTCATATTTTTGTTCTAAAAGAATAATTTTGTATAGTGTCATTATTGAGTATTATTGATATGGAAAATCTTGTCTCAACTCTCAATTGTCTTGTAATTTTTGGGACGGAAGGAGTATGCTAATTAGATCTTACAAACCGAACTAATGACCTGCATTATTCACAAGTACTTGTGACAAATGAGGATGTAAAGAAAGGTTCTATGTCATGCTTATTGCATGTCTATTTTTTATTGATTTGTGCATATATTCTGAGTTTTAGGTCTCATTACAGAAACTTTTGTTAGACGATGCATGCACATATGCAGTTACATATTACTGCTGAGTGATCAAATTGTGATCCATGCATTTTCTATTTAACCTGAATTACAGGAACCTTGGAAGCTTTGGCTTATCAGGAACGCTACCAGACTTAAGTTCAATGATTGAACTGGAGACAATGTGAGTTGAGATCAAACACTAAAACAATATATCCTCTGATTAATGTGGTCTCTGTCTATTGAATTTTTGGTTGTCTGAAAAACTTGCAGCGATTTGCATAATAACAACTTGTCTGGACCAATTCCCAGCTTTCTCGGTTTATTGCCAAAACTGAAGTTACTGTGAGTATCATTACCAGAAAGCAAATATTACAACAGTACACAGACTTCCATTTTGAAATAAACTTTTGACATACATTGCCTCTTTCTTTTTTTTTTCCATCTTTTACCAGGAATTTAGCAGATAATAGATTCAATGGAACCATACCCAGCTCGCTATCTCAAAATAAAAAGTTAAAACTGATGTGAGATTCTATGTGCTTTATGTCCATTGCTTTCTAGTGCTTTTGCCTCAATTTTGTGGATCATCCATCTTTTGGTCAGTGTGTTAGCCGGTAACCTAATATGATATGATCCTTTCAATATCAGTGTGACAGGTAATTGTCTATCTGGCATGTCATGTCCACCACTACCGAATGTTCAATCAAGTGGAACAGGGAGGAGGAAGGTGACACCGACATTGGCAGCAACCATACTCCTTTGTCTTTGCTTTTGCTGTTTCTGGAGCTAAATCAGTTCCAGGAAATTTCTCAGCAATATATGCCTCCATTTTGAGTTCAGATGGAGATGTTAATGACTATATAATGATATGTGGTGTGTGTGAATGTCCTAAAGAGAGTTTAGGATTTGCATGGCCACAAATCCACTGACTCAATGAGCTAAGAGTTCCACATGGCATATTGATAACAACCAATCGATAAGAGAGTTTTTTTTTTTTTTTTTAATTTCTTTTCTTTTCTTCTGATAGATCCTACAGATATGTGAAATTAATGGTATTTAAAATTTTCAGTTTTTTATGAAAATTTAAAAAATCATTGAGAAGAATTGTTGATGCAGAATGGGGAAGGGAGAAGGCAGAAGAGAAGAGATTGAAAATAACAGAGAAAGATAGAAAGATAGTGAAGAGAACATAATGAGAGGAGAGAAATTCATAGGACTGGCAATTCTATAGCAATGCTTATTTAATAATTGGCATGTATAAATCAAATGTGTTAATTAAAATACTACTTTTTATATGGGAGAATGTTTTGATAAATGAAAAGATAACAACAAATGTTGAAAGATAACAATAACCTTAAATAAATGCAAAATTACAATAATAAAAACAAGATATGCCTCAATCATGAAATTCATTTTTAATATCTTCTAGCGAAACTCCAAGTCAAAAGTTTTCTTAATCTCATCAATTGTTTTACTGATTTATTAATAAATGAGAGACAAGCAAAGGGTCATTAGTGAAGTGAGTTTGCTTCCCACGGAGAAAGGGAAATTTACAATCTTTTATTGTGTATTGGATTAATGAGAACTTGAATTTGGATCAAATCCCTCATTTGAATGTATAAAAGCTTATGATCAAATCCAAATCCATCTCTTATTACATTTTCTTTGTAATTTCAAATTCACTTTTACTAGTACAAAATATAAAATTTAAAGGGTACTTTCTACATCGGTTGGAAGGCAAACAGTATAGAAAGTTAAGGTGGTAGTATTTTTATAATTTTGACAACACATATTATAGTTTTTACACTGGGTGAAAAGGAAACTGTTATAAAAAAAACTTTCTATAACAGGTGCATAGTCACCCATTGTAAAAAAACAATAACTTTCTACAGCAAGTGAAGCTCACCCGCTATAGGAAACCAAATTTCTACAATGGGTGCACGTCAACTGCTATAGAAGAACCTTTCTACAACGGGTGCAAACTACCCGCTATAGAAAGGTGCCTTTCCACAACGGGTGCAGCTCACCCGTTGTAGAAACTCTCTTTTCTATGAAAGTAGTTCAAATTTTTCTTTTTGCTTCACCGCGCGTGTGTCTCCTCCCTCATTTCCTCTTCTTTGCGCCTTCAGAACTCTCCTTCCTCCTCTCCCTTGACCGACGCCCTCTCCTTCCTCCTAGCCAGCATCTCCCTCCCCTTCCTGTACCCTCCTCCCCATCTCCCTGTCGCCTCCTCCCCTTCCTCTTCCCTCAACCCCCAACCTCTCACCCCCACCCTTACCCCTATCCCCCTCCCCCTCCTCTTCCCTACACCCCCTTCCCCATCCCCTCTACCTCCCCTTGCGGCTTTACCGCTCCCCCCTTTGCTATCATTCCCTTCACATTCCCCTCCCCCTACCTCTATTGCCTCTTCCTCCTCCTCCTCTTGCCGCTTGCTCCTCCTCTTGTTGCTGCTATCACTCTTGATTGATTAGGTATGCCTCTTAATTTTTGTAAAGATAATTTTTTATTTGATTGTATTTTTTGTTAATTTTTTTAATTTATTAGGCTAATATGTATGTATATATATATGATGATAATGATATTGATTATTGTTAGGAGTGCTATTAGTGGCTTCATAAAGCCTTATGTTATTGCATGTGATCATTAATTTAGTTTAAGATTATCAATTTTCTCTATTAAAAATTTTTAAAAGTCTTGAGAGGTCCAATTTTTAGGGGAGATTCTACCAAAATTTTTTAAAATTTATTCTTTCCTCTAAATTGTTTAAATTTAATTGTTATTGATATTGATTGTTATTGAAAATGCTGTTAATGGCTTCATAAAGCCTTAGGTTGTTGCATGTGATCATTAATTTAGTTTAAAATTATTAAATTTCTCTATTAAAATTTTTTAAAAGTCTTGGGAGGTTCAATTTTTAGGGGAGACTCTGTTAAAATTTTTTAAAATTCATTCTTTCTCCTTGAATTGCTTAAATTTAGTTTTTAAGAAGGCCTAATCAGGTTGTTTGCAAGTGGTCATTTATTTAGGAATTTAGATTTTAGAAATAGTTTGAAGGTAATAACATTAGTTATATTCTTTAGGAGTTGATATATGGATCATAGTTGGATGAATGCTAGATGAACGAGTGATGAGTATGATAATGGAGTGAAGGAATTTTTAAAATTTGCTAAAAAAAATGTTGTTGACAATAGTGTAAGGTTCTATTGTCGTTGTGTTAATTGCTTAAATGAGAGGAGATTAGGTACTGCTAAAATAAGAGAGCACTTGATTTATGATGAGATTTACAAGAATTATACGATATGAATTTGGCATGGTGAACGATTGAAAAATTATAGTAACACATCTCAATATGTGAAAATTGATAATCTAGATGATGAAATAGATATGAATGAAGATCGGTTAGAGGACATGATCTTAGGGAAGAAGCTTTTGAACGAGCACATGTGTACGATACCTTGTGCACTGACGCAGAGAAGCCTCTATACCCAGGGTGCACTAATTTTAGTTTGTTATCTGGGGTGCTAAAACTCATTACCTTAAAGGCAAGAGCTAGGTGAAGTGACCAAAGTTTTATTTGGTTGCTAGAGTTACTTCAAATAATGTTGCTGAAAGGCAATGTACTACCAAATCGTTATTATGATGCCAAGAAGATCTTATGTACAATGGGTATGAAGTATAAAAAAAATACATGCATCCCCTAATGATCGTGTATTGTACAGAAAAGAGCTTGAAGGGGAGGAGAAGTGTTTGAAATGTGAGGTACTACGGTACAAAGAGAAGGGGACTCTTGTAAAAGTCTTATGGTATCTTTCAATTATACCAAGCTTCAAGCGCTTATTTGCAAATACTAATGATGTGAAGAACTTGATATGACATAAAAATGAGAGGATATCTAATGAAAAACTTCAACATCCAGCTGATTCTCCTCAGTAGAAGAAAATTAATCAATTGTTTCTTGAATTTGGGAATAAGCCAAGAAACCTGAGACTCAAACTCTCTACTAATAGAATGAATCTTTATGGTGGTCTCAGTAGTATACATAGTTCATGGCCTGTTCTTTTAGTAATTTACAACTTATCACCTCGACTGGCATGAAATGGAAGTCATGATGCTATCCATATTGATTTCAAGACTAAAACAACCTAGAAATGATATTGATATCTACCTAAGACCTCTAATTAAAGATTTGAAAATGTTGTGGGAGGTAGGTGTGAAAGTGTTTGATATAAAATGGAAGGAAACTTTTAAGTTACATGCTATGATCTTTTATACTATAAATAATTTTCCTATATATGGGAATTTGTTCAGCTATAGTGTGAAAGGTTATAAAGCTTGTCCAATTTGTGAAGAAAGCACAAACTATCATCAACTTTAACATGGAAGGAAGACAATCCACCTTGGCTATTGGAGGTTTCTCAGACGAGATCACCCTTATCATAAATTGAAGAAAGCTTTTCATGGTCACTAAGAGCACAATCATGCTCTAGATGCTTTGACTGGGGATCAAGTGTTCGAACGGGTGAAAAACATCAATATTGTCTTCAATAAAACTAAAAAAAATTGGTGCAAAAAATATATGAAAAAAATGTCTATCTTTTTTGACCTTCCATATTGGCACAATCTTGAAGTGAGGCACTGTATTGATATTATGTACATGGAAAAAAACGTGTGTGATAGTATTACTAGAACACTTCTGAATATACAAGGTAAGATCAAGGACGGTGTGAATGTAAGATTGGATTTGAAAGAAATAGGAATACGAGAGGATTTACACCCAAGACTAGAAGGTAAGCAAACTTGTTTTCTCCCAGCCTCTCATACATTGTACAAGTCTGAGAAAATAAGTTTTTATGAGTGTTTACATGGAATTAAAGTTTCTTTGGGGTATTCTTCAAATATTGGGATGCTTGTGTCTGTGAATGAGTTGAAACCGATAGGCTTAGAGTCTCATGATTGTCATATCTTAATGTAACAACTATTACCTTTAGCTATTCAAGGCATATTAAAAGAAGATTTAAGACTTACGATAACTAGACTCTGTTTTTTTTTCAATGCTTTATGCAGTAAAGTTATTGATCCCTATAAACTAGAAGAGTTAGAACAAGAAGCTTGTATGATTTTGTGCCAACTTGAGATGCACTTTCTTCCTACATTTTTTGACATTATAGTTCACCTAATAGTGCATCTAGTGAGGGAGGTAAAATTGAGTGGCCCTGTTTATTTATAATGGATGTACCTAGTTAAGAGATACATGAAAATACTAAAAAGGTATGTCAAGAATTCATATCGACCTGAAGTATTAATAGTTGAAAAATATGTTGCCGAAGAAGCCATGGAATTTTGTTCCAATTACTTGTCAAATACAGAATCAATTGGACTTCCTAAATCTCATCATGAGAAGAGACAATTAAGTCAAGGCACACGTGGAGTGTCAATAAAGAGCATGAGTCATGATGAATTACAAGAAGTATATTTATATTTTGAATAATATTGATGAAGTTAAAGATTACATTTCTTCTCACAAAAAACTTCTAAAGGCAGAAAATTATTAAATGAAAATGACTAAACAAAGGTTGTTGAAAGAGCATAATAACACTTTTGTAGATTAGTTCAAGTAGAAAGTTTTGAATGAAAGTGGAATTTCTGATACAATTAAATGGTTGGCAAGACGTCCTAACTTTGATGTTATATGTTGGAGTGCGTACGATATTAATAGGTATTCTTTCTACACAAAGTCCTTGGATGAAAAGAGTGCAATGCAAAATAGTGGGGTTATGATAGTGGCTGAAGCCGTTCACTTCTCTAGCTCAAAAGATAAGAAACCTAAACTAGCAGCAAGGACTTATTTTAGGATTATTGAAGAGATTTGGAGGTTGATTATATAAAATTTAGAGTTCTTATTTTCAAATACAAATGGGTTGACATCAACAATATTCATGATGATAAGTTATGATTTACAAT